TATTAAAATCAATCCAAATTTATTTTTTTAATTTAATTTTTAAATAATCATTCGATTACCCACTCGAATGACTGACAGCCCTACCACTAACTATAGCCGTGGGCTCCTCTTGTAGATTTTTGGTATCCAAAGGTGCCATCAGTCTTGGTCGTCGTCCATGATCAGTGTGCTGGTGCTTCTTCTGCGCTATTGCGTACCAATTTGTGTGCGGCAAATTTGAGATGCTTTCGTAAGGTTAATTGGATGTTCATACACGGTTTCAAAAGGCAACAATGACGGTTAATTTTTCATCCGGTTATAACTTCTAATGTTTGATATAATTGTAACTGTTGGAATAGGCCAACATAGGCTCAGTATCTAAACAAGGTTGTGTGCAATGGGCTTAGGCTACAGCCCATTAACTCAAGTTAAGGGAAGACTATGCAAACACACCCACATGACCAACATTACGTGAGTCAATGAGATGCTTATATGTACAGATATGTGTTAGTAGTTGAGGTTATAAATACTTTCTAACTACTTTCGATGAAAATAATTAATCTTTACGCTTCTCTTTCTGCAATTACTCCTTGAAAGCGTTTCTCTCTAAAACATCGAGTATGGTTGACTTGTGTGTCGGAGTGTTTTTTTCGAGAAAATAACCTCGGGATTTTTAGGTGTAGGAGCAGCTGAGGACTTCAACAATATTGGATTGCGAAGCTGTCCAAACAGTAACTTATAATTTATTTATGATGTTTTATTGAGGAAGTGAATGTATATTATATTAAAAATAATTTTTTATAAAAATAAAAAATAATAATTTGTATTTTTTAAGGGTACGCAACATAATCAGAGTTTTATAAAAACATAATTACAACGACAGTAAAGTAATCGTAGTTGTCAATTTGTCGTCAGCAATAATTTATGATTCTCACTACTAAATAGCTGAAGTCATTTTTTTCTTACGACATACCAAATCAGTCCTTCTGAAGAAACATCAGTACTGATTATGGGAAATAAAAGACAGGCAACATACTGGAATTCATCAAATCTGCATCAATGCAGCGAATAATGACTAGTAGAATCAAGGAGAGCTTACTTAAATTCAAAATCCATGTTCAAATGCAACACAATGTCATAAAAGTTCTAGCAATCATATTAAGAGCCTGTATGGTGTAGTTTGTTAGAATTTTTGCTTTTGTTGTAATATTTATAAGTAATAAATTTAAATTTTTATGGGAAATAAAATTTAAAAATTATTTTTAAAAATAAAAAAAAGAGTGAAAAAAATTTATGAAAAATTTAAATTTGAAATTTTTAATTTTTTACTATTTAAAATCTTTTTAAAGTTAAAAAAAT